CTCCAGCCCAAGCTCCTCCCCCACTGCCCGGCGTCACCATGGCGATTCTCTCAGAGCACTGAGCTCCAGTCAGGTGGCCAATCGCAAGTGAGTGTGTGTAGCAGCAGCTGCAGTGCTGATAGTCGTGCAAACAAGGCCAGGTTTATGTCTCCCTGCAGAGACTCCTGGATGGAAATATAAATATTCACTTGAATGATGAAAATGATATTTTTAGATATTTCCTGAAATTGACTTGATAACTCTTCTTTTTACCATGCAACATCAAGCCAAACATCTCATGAACCACTCGTAATGTTTCTGTCATCATATTCTTTTATGTATTTTATTTCAGAATCGGCTGCTATTGAATGTGGTTGCATAATAGGAGGTATTGTGTCCTGCATGGTGTGGTGTCGCATGACTCTTTTCAAAGAGTGTGTGTATGTACGTTTGAACTGTCACCTGCATAGAAGTCACCTGGAAATTTGGTCAATTGAATTTTCACAGTGCAGCACTTCAGTGGTCACATTTACTGCTGACTTTACTGCTGTTTGACCTTGGATACGTGTGGTGGTGAAATAATGGAACATGATATGCAAATGTGACCCCCAACTGGATTGTTTCATGTCATTTTAAACTTTCTTTTGTGTGTGTTTTTTAGTGAAGCAATCCAGACGCTGCAGGCTGAGGTCAACAGACTGAGGGAGAGACTAGAAAGCTGTCTGAGAAATAAAAAAGCTCCGAGTTCTGTGAGAGCAGCTCCATCAACTCAGGAGAACTACACTCACCACATCACCTCTACACCTCGCGTCAGGTGGTGTAACCACACAGTCTCCCCTTCCTTCAGGAACACTGCTGTCTGCAGCGTGAGGCTACAGCACAGAGCTCACTACCACAAAGGTTTTATCTTAGTTTGGTTTCTCCCGTTGCTTAGGTCTGGGGAGCGATGCAGTGATGTCAACAGGGAAAGAAGAGACAGACCGACCGTTGATGAAGTTGAGGAGTCTACTCTGAGACGAACAACCCGGAAGAGACCACCTTCTGCACACAGACGACCACAACCTGATATCTGTAAGTTGATCTCAATTTTCAGTTGACCCTTAACTCAAGAGCTTTGCTTCAAAGATTTTGTATAATCCAAATTTTGCTACAACCATATGTGCAAATTATTTTCTTTAATGAAGGACAAGGTGAATAAACAAGTGACAGTTTATTACATGAGCCCTAAATGGTAATAGATTACATTTGTACATGTCTTAGGTTTAGTCTAAATAATGGCACATAAGCCCCCAACTAAATGGTGTGTGTACAATGATGAAGATAAGCAAGCCCATTCATTCTTAGAAATCATGTAATTTGAACAATACATCATTTAATGCATGTAATGTTTTTCTTTTCAGTGAGAACATCAGAGCCCTCTACACCCCAGACTCAGCCTCTGGTATCCAGATGTACTCAAACATCCACTACAGCCCCAGACAGCCGCAGTTCACGCACAAAAACTGTCCGCAGCAGAACAAACCCCAGTAAGAACATCTATCCAGAACAGAAATACATGAGACTGAGCACTAAATTGAGACCACACTAATAGCAAGCAGTTATCTAACAAAACATATAGCAGAATTAATTTTATTTCATCGTAATGCTGTGTTTTCCCTTTTGTAATGGCTTGCAAGGACATGCTAGTTAAAACATTCCTTTTATAGCTTATTTCAGTCTCTCCTGTCCTCACCAGTTTCCAAATACTTTCCTAAAATGTGTGAGAGAAGATTATATTTCCATAGATACTCACACAGAAATGTGACTACTTGTGAATTCATAGCTCCATGTTCTTATCTCAGCACAGACTTTTAATTAAAGGTGTTGATTAATGTATTTTCGATGAAAATCTGCCAAAACAGACTGATGAGTGTGTTTGTGTGTGTGGCAGGGCAACATCCTGGTGTGTCTGTACAAGTGTGTGAGACAGCAGATGAACCTGACAGCAGAAGTCGTCAAGCTCCTCTCTGTCCTCAATGTTTGTCACGTCGCCGAGGGCGACCTGAAGGTAGGGGGGGGTTTTGTGTTCAGGCAAAGAGCCTGAAATCCTTTTGTTCCTAATTCATTTGAAACCAGCATTGCAGTTTTGTCCTCATTAATTATCCTGCTTTGTTTTTGTTCCTTAAATCCTGCCTCTGTTTGTTTTCTTGCTGTCTGGGCCAGGTGGTGGCAACATAGAGCCCTCCCATTCCTCACTTTGCCGTCACTGTCCTCTCTGTGGATGCCCTGAACCGTTGAGAAGCACTGAACCAGGTTAGAGACCGTGTGATCAAAGCTGTTTTGAATGCTTACTGCTACAGTAGAGTGATGTGAACAGTTCTATCTTCATACTTCAGGCCTTTGCTCAGTGTTTGGTTGAAGATATAATCCATGACTTGATGTTGACATGAATTTGTTGTTTAGAATCAGCAGCACAAGATCCTGTAGAGTTACTGTGCTCAGCACATGAATCAGTTCAGTCTGCAGTAAATGAAATGAGTTTAATTATCTGAAGTGTTAATGGAGCTCCTGACCTGCTCTGTGATTCAAAGACTGTCGCAGAGTCTCAGACTCCCCCCCACACACAAGCTGCCAACCAGAGTCCCCTGATGGAGTGATGAGGAGCAGATACTTTGCAGCTGCAGCTCCACCTACACTGCTGCAATACATGCCAGTGTGTCCACCACCACTCCTGTGAGTAATCTGCCCTCTCGCCACGCACTCACACACCAGACCTATGATGATGGACCATTACGTTGAGTTCCTCCACAGGTCTCTCTCCAATTTTGATGACATTTCTCACATTGGCTCACTTATTAAGTGATGATTTGTCCTGCCTCCATACTATATAGTAGTTTTATACAGTATGTACTACACACTAATTGTCAAAGTAAAAAATTATTTCTTGTATACTAGCTGTAAAATAAATATACTAACAGGAAATGTCAGACATCAAACAATTCTTTGCAAAAACATGCAATATGTTAAACAAAAAGCGTAACGCCTTTGGCAAAAAGACACCTCCATTTGAGAAATTTAGTGTCTGCAGAAGCTGAGACACTGCTACAATACATACTACACTATACATTGTGGAAAAATGTCAAAATGAAAGCTGTCAGTGTACATACTACTGCTGTGGATGGACATAACTGTCCAGCAATGCATCAATACACCAAGGAAATAGAGAGGAGCTCCTCACAGCTGCAAAACACTAAGGTTGGTCAAACATAGATGCTTCTCAGATAACAAATAAGGATCATGTCTTTGGAAACATATTTTTCTTTCTCTTTGTGAAGTTTAATTGGCAGTGGCACTCCAAATTCACAGTTTGAGAACCATTGGTGTCATTCATCTTGAGAGAAAAATTCATTTGAATGTTGTACATAAAAATACAAAAACTACTATACAAATAACATTTATTACATGCTGTTTTCATTGTAAGTTTAACCTGAACTGCCATACTCAATATTTATGTCATCAACCTTACCTTCTCTACAGGTTGTACTCATCGCCCCTCTACGTGTCTCCTAGCAACAGGACTGGCACATCCTCGAGGGTCAGAGGTCGCGAGGAGGCGAGGGGAAGGTCAAGACGCTCCCTCTCCGCTGACAAGCAGCACTCCGTGGACAGCTCTCTGAACAGAGCCATACGAGCAGCTCGCCACATGAAAAACACTTCTGGACACATGGCTCGCTCTCTGGCTGCTGGACTGCACTACCAGGAGCTGCTGACTCAGTCCTGCAGCTACTAGTCTGACCTCCCTCCGCAGGCAGCAACATTTACTTCACACCAGCATCCCTACAGCTGTAGACATCACCTACAGCCGGAAGGAGTACGTGAATAAAGAATCTAAACTCCATCTATTCTTTCTAACGTTTCTTTGAAGCTAAATGTCATTTTTTAATTTCTGGCAAAATTTAAGTCTCAGGTGGCCAAACATGAATTTGTTTCTTTAGCAGGCATAATATAATTTCAAAAGATGTGCTGGCATACATTGAAATGACATACTTTCTAAATTGATGTAGTACTGTAGATCAGTTTGCTATAAATGTGATCATATTGATTTTCAAACCGATGAAGTAAATAAATTAGTTTCTTCTTCTTCATTGGAGCTGTCTTTAAGTGACAGTTGTAATCAGTTAATACTCAGTTATTTTGAGCTATTTATTGATCATGTGATTGTGTTTGTTGATCGTGTGTGGTTTTAAAAAAAAATATTTTCTAGTTTGTATAGGTTTGAAAGTAAGTTCAGGATGACAGTGTTATTTTAGTTGCCGTATAAAAGGTTTATCTTGTTTCTGCAGTTGCATGCTGCACTGTAAATGAAATGCACTCGCTCATTGCACCTGTTGTGATGGAGTCCACTTTGGACGGTCACACAAGAGACCGCCATTAATCTATTTTGTAAATGGTCAACGGCTCATCACACTTTATCTTTAAAATATAATGAAGAGTTGTGTGCGATACATGCTGGATAACCTCAAAATCAGTCTGTTTCTATGTTGTTAAAGTCATTCTGTATGTGAAGACTACACAGTTTAAATGGTGGCGTTTTGGAAGTTTTGTACAGTATTTTATCGTAAGCTTGTAACTATATGAGCCACACAAGTAAGTCTACTGTAACTGACCGGCTTTATGTGGAGCAAACATTCTCAGACCAAAGGTCTTTAAAAGGCCTTTATCTTTATATACAGGTGGGACCGCCAACACAAACAGAGGAATAATGCTATTTTACAGATAAAGTTGTGCATTATATTTAGTTGAAACTAAGAACTGTGGATGTTACAAGTGAATTCTGTTTTTTATTAACTACTCCTTTTTACTTTTGTACCATTGGTTCTCAAACTGTAGGCCTACCTTAATATTTTGCAGGGAATATTTTCAGTGGTCCCAAAGCAGCCAAATAAAAGTGGATATGAACATTTGATGTCACTGTACTTTGTAATTTTTATTAACTACTAAAAAGTGAAGCTAGTAGTTAAAGGAAGAGTTGAGTCTTAATGTTATGGAAGCCAATTTATTAGACAGCCTTAGTACATATTAGGTACACATGGAAGTATTGTTTGTGCTTCAACACTCGCAAACATACAATCCCAATAAGTTAAACAGTTTTAGGACAGACTAATGTATCATTATTATTTTTTCTCTGATAAATAATTTTGATATAAATCAATTGATTTGACGGAGTGAACCCTATACAACAGCAAATTATAATAGAAAAAAATAAACACAAAGTCAAGCGTTTGCATCACAGAAAACGCATTATAGTGCAATATACAACTTGTTTGGCCAGGAAAGAGGGGAGGGAGGGAGGGAGGGAGGAAATAAAAGTGAAAAGGGGGTTTAAGGTTTTTTTTTTAGCAAAGCCATTCACCATTAGAGGGTTTTACATTGCACCAGAGGAGGAAACAGACAAAGAAAATATAGATATTAGTTCTTTTTCCCGGTTGACGACTAACAACTACAGCTAAACATCACAAACACGGCGGCTTCACATTGGCATTGATAAAGGAAAAGTATCACTACTTCACAGTCAGAAATATCACCAGTCAACAGTGAGACGCTAAAACAGCAACATATGGCAGATACACAACACTACTCAGTGCATGGCCCAATTAAACATCATTACTAACCAAAGATAAGACTTATTCTGACAGGATACAATACTGAAATACAACTGGCCCTTTTTAAGATTATTCATTAAATATCAGCAAGCAACGGCCTTTTCGACATTAAAACGTGAAGTTTCTCCGGAGAAAGGAAAAAGGTTGTGGCAAGTCAATACTTTACAGTCTCGGCAGCCGGAGGAGGGATGATTCTGGCTTTTTACAGAGCACTCTCTTTCCAACATCTGCTAAACCAAGCATTTTTAAACCAATACTTAACTGAAAATGTATGTTTTGAGTATCAAATACTCTGGGAAGCGAATGGTTAATTTAAATTCCACATACATAAATAAAAATGTCTGAAATCTTACCTACATTTTTGTATAAATCATCTTATTAAAAGGACTTTTTGTGAGCAATAACCACTTTATGGCCATAGATTTGTACCTCATAAACTGGCACCTGAGAGCGCAGATTCTTCAGGAGTGGTTTGAAAAGTCTCAAAGCGCGCTTTCCCACTTTTTTTGATACTCAAAACAAAGCTTTTCAGCAGAGTATTCAAGCTCGACATCTTGGGGAAACAGCTAAATGCTAACTCTGCAGCTCCCAGAACATCCACACTGGATACAAACACATTAACAGTCCAACACAAGTCCAAGCATGCTACTGAATACGAACATCTCAAATGGACGGGGGGAGGGGTTAGGGGCTCCTCTCTGATGAATATATTAATTATATATATATTGCATGTTGACTGATATGACATATTTTACGACATCAACCTCTCAAACTGTGCATCCCTCCTCCACCCGCTTCCAATAAAACTCACACCAAGGAGGAAACCCAAAGGATCAAACAAGAGAAAATGTCTACCTTTTACACATTCTAGCAGGTTTTATAGCATATAATATTACATTTTGGTACTTTCAGTTTTAAATGGCCTTCTGTTCTGATATTTAAACCTTTTTAAATAAGTTCATTTAGTTGCATCCATTGTAAAACATGAGAATACTTGCAACTGTTTTTATTCTTTGATACATTTTTTTTTTAATCATCTAAGATATCTTTTTTTTCTTCTCAAGCAAGATGCATAAACAATTAATGTAAGATTTGTGGGGGAAGGATACAGAGGTAAGATGGGTGACGGGTAGAGGGTGGGGTGGGGTGGGGTGGAGTGAGGGGCAGGGTTAAGGTAAAGAGGAGAGAGATGTGATTGGAGGATTTTAGCTTGTCACTTCCTCGTCTGGTTTGTTCATGGTCTTGAGCTGCTCCAGCAGGGCGGTGGGGGTGAAGATGTTGGTCGATCCTGGAGACACGCACATGCATAAAACACACACACACAGCGTTAGATCTGCACGTTGAGAAAGAAACGTATGAAAAATGTGTTTTCAGCTCTTGCTATGAATGCCTACTGTGGATGGCGGAAGTGTCACGTAATGATGAAAACAAAGATAGAAACACTAAGCAACCCAAAGTTATAAAATCATAATCTATTAGCCAGCAGGTTCAAATGGATCATGTGAAAGAGCTGTAAAAATTCATTCTAAAAGGTGGGAGGTAAAGTACTTTTACTGTCCTGCACCTTATTAAATGACCAATATTTGTATCAATATTTTCAAATGTCCTTCAGACTTTAATAGATTTTTGTCAGCCTGTAGAGAAATATTGTCTATTTTAAAGTGTTAGCTTGGATTTATTGAAGAGGGATTGTATGAGGTTCCTATCCATAGTCAGTGTGTTACCTGCAGTAGACAGTGGTCAGCACGCCACCAGCAAGGTACAATTACTGGAGTCTGGTGGTTTTGAAGAGAGGAATATACCTGCTTCAGTTCCTCGTCAGTTCAGCTGACGTCAAGGTAAAGTGTTAAGAAATATTCTAAATACACCGTATAAACTGGTGTTGCTGCCCCTGTTCACAGCAGTACATTTCTTAGCTTCTGTCTGTTTCTCCAAACTGGGGGCGTGCCAATCACCGTCTACTGTAGGTAATAGACTAAGTATGGATAAGGACCTCATACAACAAAACTTCAAAAAATCCAAACCAACCCTTTAACTGATCTGAAGGCGGGAAATCCCCAAAACTAGAGGTATGACTTCAAGATTTACTTGACTAGGTGGCAAACCTAATATGTCCACATTTTTCCTTTTATATTATAGCTCCAATTATCTATCCATCTGGTTTTGGATTCAACATATTTGAATCCTGATTTGTCTGTCTAAAGTACTATGTAAACACCTCTGACTAATACTCTTTAAGTCCTTTATTCTACAAACGTACAGCCTGATACAAACTCATGAAGCCGTGGTTAATCACATGCAGCTGAATATAATGGAAGCACACAGATTGGTGATGGCACCTCACAACTGTCATGAATCTGTGAGCTTAAAGCAGCATGTCGGCTAGTAGAAATCCTGCAACACCAAACCTGTCCACAGCAAAGCCAGTCAGGTGTTAGAACAGTGTGCACATGGCCGTGTGGGCCTTTAATCAAAGAGCATGAAAAATACTGCTAGAAAAAGCAAAGAATACAGCAAAAAATGGTAAGAGCAGATTTTCTCTACATTTCATGAAATCCAAACCCAGAGAGTTGGGTCTACCAGCTGCTATAAATATGAATGAAAATGTGAAACTGAGTAACCCTAATAACACAGGGATGAACTGCTGTGACAGCTGAAGACACATTTCAGACATTGTAAAACTTGAAAGGTGCGAGACTGGAGTAAAGCAAACATTTTGCCAGATTTGTTTGTCGCTTCATTACCAGATTTACAGATGGATTACTGCCATCTTAATTCTTTATCAAAAGGCAAACAAACCATTTGGTTTACTCCACACACCTGTTCAACATTATCAACAGTATTTGACCTACATTGGTTTGTTTCTGTTGCAAAGCTGCATGTTTTCCTCCAGTTTGGTTGAATTAGCTGCTTTACCTCAAAGACCTACAGTAAAACTAAACTTTATCCCATGAGGGGTCAGAACAGGAAGTGGAGGAAGTCAAAGGTAAAAACAGAAGAGAAAGAGGCAAGCCCATCTCGAGTTGGGTCATTATGATGATGCAGGGGTTGTAGGTGTCTGGGGTTGTGGGTGGAGGTTTAGTGTGGGTCAAGTGGATAACGTTGGACTGGCTTCGCCTGCTTCTCTGCTGTTCCCCAAACACACAGCTTCGTGGGCCTTTGTGCCCCAGAAACACAACACTGTGACGTTGATCTCCAACGCCACTAAATTATTGCACATGGCTAGGTTTTAGATCAAAACAGCATAACAAAAACAAAGACTTGTTTTAGTAAGTGATGGCCATTTTGCTCAGGAAGTGTTGAATGCAGCAGTATGTGGGGGAGAAGCCATACTGCTTATGGTGAGAGCTGCTGACTGAGAAAACCATAAAACCAAAAGTTGGTTTGTAAACGATATTGCTTTAGCAGATTAGTTAGACAATGAGATGGATGCCCAGGACTGCAATAGTCTATGTTTTGTGGGTGAGTCTCCAGCTTTAAATGGGAATGTGTGTTTAAAAGTAGCCTTCCTAATAAAATACAGTAACAGACAATGAGGTGGTCATGGACATTTATGCAAAAATAGTTGTGTTTCCTCTGCAAAAGGAGGTTATGTTTTGAATGTTCCCATATGTTTGTTTGTTAGCAGGATTTCTCAAAAACTATGTTAAAGTTGAAATTTGTTGGAAAGCTTGGCCATAGTCCGAGGAAATTACTTATTTTTGGAGCAGACAGTGTCAAAGCAAATCTTTAACTGATTTCCAAACTGTATCTTTTGTGCTTTTTCCTCTTTCAACTCTCAACACTACCCATTTTTAATGGAGAGGCGATTGCCATGATTAAAAAGGTGCATTGGATACAATTTGGGTTGAACTTGGGATGCATCATTTGTAAAATGTGCATCGGTAAAAACAAGTTGATATATAATTATTTTTAGAGGCCCAATGCCTTTATCATTTTAGAAATGTGACTAATATTTTTTGATTGATTCCTCCTCTCTAAACTAAGAACCAAAAAAATAAAATAATATTTATAAATAATAAAATATTGCACAGCATCGTATCTCATTGCGTTGACTCAAATTGTCGTTGGCAGTGCATTGAGATGCTGATTGCATTGCCTCAGTGATGGAGATGTACGTCCCTAATGCATACATCAATTTTGAGCAATCCTGCTAAATCTGCACAAATGCAAAAGCTTTCATTTAAATGGCCATAACTCATTTATCGCTGTGTGTATTTAAATGTAGACCCAGATGCAAATTAAAATTCTCTAAACACTTTGTATGATCAAAATAACAGATTCAGAGGAGTGGTCAGCCTTGGCGGAGGTATGTGCTTTCGAGTTCTACTCATGTTTAAACTGAACTAACTGTGTGCTAGTGACCGGTGTAAGGGATGAGTTTTGGAAGAAATGAAGAGTCTCATACATTAGGGGAGGGGGGGATTAGTGTGAGCTGTTGGACATGTGTGGCATCTTTGCTTTTTATTAGGTTGCTAAAGCATATCAGGTGGAACATTGCTACATTCCCAGACTCTGTGTCAGCAGAGAGGCATCATAGAGGCCGTGATACAAAGGGCAACTTTTTGGGCAACTGAACTGAATTCTTCTAAAATGATTGCCCTGTGTGTCAGCACCCTGTAAGGATGATATGTTGCTAATGTTTAGCACCCTCTGCGGACGAGCCATGAGCCATGAGCCATGTGAGCATGTGATGGTGGGCTGAGAGAGAGTGACATGGACGGAGTCAGAGGACTGGGAGTCAAAATAAAAAATAAAAACACAAGGAAAAAAGGAGAGAATCCTTCTTTGAAATCCAACATCAACTCAAGGACCTGTCCTGAAAGAAACCAGTAACAAATCAAGGTGATTGTCTTTGCAAAGGGTTAACTAGAAAAATAATACGACAGTAAAAACTGATAAAGATGGATCTCGGGGGTAGATTAAATCTGGAGTGAGTGTTCAACAGGCTCAAAGGGCCTTTGGGTGGCTGACGAGGGGCGATTTAATCCACCCAGCTGAGATGATGGGAGGAGGCAGCAGGGATGGGGTCACGACCCCCTCAGACATGGCCGCTCTTCAGCACAGACTTTACTCGGGGCTGTATCCTAATGTGCGGACTCAAAGGGCCCTGGAGGACTTTGGCCATATGCACTGTGACATGCTCACTATCATCATGCAGAGCTACATAAGCCTCTGACGTACATTTTCTTTATGCACCTTATGTCAACTTTTTGCCTCCAGATATTTATACAATTTAATTTGGTTAAATATTATCTACATGATGCAAGTTGTGTGTTTTATACATTCATAGGGTTTATGTTCTTTAAAAAAACGTAGCGTCACATTCCTATTGCAATGAATTGTGGGTAATTCAATCAGAAAGTCTGAACCCCAAACAAACTCAAGAAGTCTGCAGAAAGTCTGCATGAGCTCTTTTGTTGACTTCATGGCTAGTGGGTTTGGACTGTGGTCTGTATGGGGGGTGAAGTTCAGACATTTGGATTCAGCTTTCTTGATTGGATAGCAGGACTCCCACTCTCAATATACAGACACTGGAGCCCAGTGGAGCGGCCCATGCAGTGAGGAAAGGTCGGGGGTGCCCATCCCTGAGGGACACGGGGAAAAGGAGGGTGGAGTTACATAAGACAGTTCTGAGTGATCAAAGAAGAAAAAGGAACAGGGAGGAAGCCCTTGTGCTGTGATGTTCAGAAAGGGCTTCTTTGTGCGGCTGCCTTTACTTTTTTCAGTGTGATTTCTCTCTCCCTCCCTCCCAATCTGTCTCTGCCTCACTCGGCTGTGGGTTCTGCGTCCTCAAAGGACACCCTAGTGGACTCTCGGAAGTCGGGGTGCTGCAGGTCCGATAAGAATTTGGAGGGGGTGAGCATGTGGGTGGAACCTGTGGAGGAACAGAGGTGGCTTCACCACTCGTCTCTCAACACATGCCACGCCCCCCCCTCCCCCACTCACTCCAAAAATAAAAAGGGTTAAAAACAAGCAACCTGTCGTACGGCACACGCACAGAGACACACTCATCCACTGACAGCCCACACACATACATACACACTCTCGCCATGTTGCACAGACACATAGAACTCGGACGCACAGACACAGAAAAAAGACATGGCGTGGCTGCAATTCAAAGACAACAGTTGTTTTTAAAGACAACAGCTGAAGCAGAGCACAACAGAAACTAACAAGACACTTTTCCATTTATAACACAGACTGTCTGGCGAAGCTTTAACACATCAAATAAACAATACAGAGGGGCATAACATAAAGGGCTATTTTAACATAACACACAATAGGCAGGTTGTTACAGATAACTGCAGCTAGACCGTCCACATTCTTCAGTCGTGATCTGGGTGCATGAAAGTCAAAAAGGAAATTACGCTACAGGAGCTGTTTTGTGGGTGGGTTTTATCATTATTTATTAAGACCTGAACATAAGTTCTTGATTTGTCATTTTGTTTTTAAAAAGGGAATGTTCATATTTATTATATATATATATAACTATAATTTATTGTTATTATGTCCAGCTTGCCAGCCGTATGAGATATTGTTGTTTTTGTTGGTGAATATCCACTTTCTCCTGTAATTATGTAAAAAAAAATAAAAAAAAATAAAATAAACTTCCGGTTGCTTCAACAAAGTACAACTGACTGTCCAGTCACCTCACTTCCTGTGGTTCCCCCATGTTTCTCCTCGCCTCTATCTTTATACGTTTTTTAGCTGTGTCCCAGTTCAGAAGCTGTGTCCTTATCTGTCCCTCAGAGGACCTGAAGGCCAGACTGAACGTGTGCCTGCTGATCCGACCTTACACAGTCCTCTGAAAATGCTTCAAGGACATGGCCCTTGATTTAGGACGCAGCTGTTAATAGTTTTGACACTTTCTATAAAACATGGTCCACTTAAAGACACATCCACTCTGTGTTACTCAACACCAGCCTGAAAAGCAGTGTTTCACCTCTGACCACACCCTGCGTCACTGATAGGTGTGTTTGGTTGTGGTCAGAAGTGTGCTCTGTTGAACCTGTAACCACACCCAACAGTGATGTCATGGTGTCCTGAGGTACACCTGTACATCACTGCAGCAAAGTGAGAAGTTACACCACTGGAGGTGAGCACAAACAAGATTTCCAGATGGTGATAAGTAAGTGTTCAAGGTTGCCGTGGGTGTATCTTTGAGTAGCCACGTGCCAAAGCCTACACATGTGAACCCTTCTTCTTTCTCTCGGCCTCCTGTCGCACTACTCACCAATGACCGCCTCCCACTTCCCATTGGCCTGTGTGACCTCATAGGCGCAGCGCATCTCGCTGAAGGACACACCGCCGATGATGAAGACCATGACACGTGGCCCAGTGCGGTACTCTCCAGGTGTCTTATTCTTGTGCCAGTGGCCGTACCGAGCACTGCGAGAGCAGAAGGGAAAACAAGGTCACGTTATTACATTTTTATAGCTAATTTTCCCCCCTTATCTTGGCATCCTAATTTATTTTCTCCATTCTCTCACAACAATATTTAGCAAATTAAGAATGATCTCCAGAATATGGACAATGTTTCATGCACGCAAAGAGGTGCATTTTTTGTTTGTCCACATTTTAAACTAGTTTGAATGAAACTCAAACTTCTTGTTTGACTAAGATAAGATAATAATCTCAGATCATAAAAATGCAAAAGAAAAAAAGTCCCTACGTTACCCTGCCTTGACTGGGTAGCTCCCCAAGTTAAGCTATCTCCCTGAATTTTGCCTCTTAGGCATTGTTTCCTTTCATGAATTCATGTTAACAACATACATGGTGCTACAACTGAGCATTAATAACAGCTAAGGCGGAAAACAGTAAGCTGCTAAACAGATTCCATACTTTTAATTTAAGTGTTATTATCTTGTATTTGTTTGTGATTTAAATTGCAAATGTGATGTTTAGTATTGCAATACAGATATTAATGCAGCATTTTTAATTCTTACATTTGACCACCAGTATTATGGAAGGATGATGAAGCAACTTATAAAGACCAGTTTAATTGAATTATGCTGAGCGGATCCCAAATGTTTGCTGCTGGTAGCTTTCCTTGGACTAACCAACATGTATCCTAGTATGATCCTCAGTGCTGGGTGTGTCTGTATCTGTGGAGGAGGGGCAGCAAATGAGGCACATCAGTTTGTAACAGGAGAGGATTTAATGCTGAATCAATACACACCAACAGCTTCCACACAGACTGGAGTGTAAGGATTAGTGGAGCTGCAAGTGACTTCAGCACTCCCCCTCATAGACACACACACAAAGTGGAGCTGGGAATATTGATGACTTGTATTCAGGTCAGTTTGCTTACATTTTGGCAGAGCTTCCAGGGGTGATATCAAGCTGATATCCAGCCGAATGTGACTGAAAAACAGCTTTTTAATAACATCTATAAATATAATAAATCTATTGAGACTAGATGTTATGTAAAAATATATCAAATTTAGCTGATTTTCATCTTCTGTGACAGCAGACAATAATTTTCAGAAGATGCAAAGTCATCAGTTTCAAAGTGTAGAAACTTGTATTAAATACATATCTGAAAACTTTCTTGTTAAAAGATATATAATATCACAATGTCTTTGGCACTGGGATCTGTATACGACTCACTAACCTGCCAGTCTTCAGTATCACCTCCATGCTCTCCATCTTTCTCAAGTATTGATCTGTTAGACTCATCTCCCTTCCCAAATTACTATTGATCGAATACCATCATTTCTGTTTTTGCAATTTAAAAAGGTCTACTACCGTACAACAAGATGCCACGCTGTGTGCATATGTATATATATGTGTGTGTGCGTGCGTGTGTGTGTGTACCTGACTGCAGTGGTGCTGAAGGAGGCAGAGGAGCGGGTGGAGATGTAGGGGTAGTGCTTGGTGTCCAGCTTATCATCAATAGCATCCTGCAGGGAAACGAGAAGACAAAACAGATCTTTGTCAGCAATATCGTCGGCCTTAAACACACACATACAAACACACTTCAGTAGGGGCTTCACCGTTGCATCACGTCTCTTAGCAACCACGTGTGGCTCCATCATGGAGGTCCATTGGAGAATTGGCTTTGCACAAATAAGGGGCTAAATATAGTTGATAACAACCAGACTGGAAAAGCAGATGTTTGATTAGGGTTGTTGTGGTTGCGCGTCAACTGAAAAGTAAATAATTCTCGTCAGATAAATTAGATATTTTTGGATCTCCCATTTAGGCTTATTTGACTTAAAAAACAAGAGAGAGAACAACACAATGATGTTCAACATAAATGATAAATAAAATAGTAAATTTAAGCCCTCAAACACACCTCCATGATATCCTTCACCAGTGGTGTCCAACGGGACAGCTGATAGGTCTGCTCGCTCACACGCTCCTTCCTGTCCAGCTTCTTTCCTCGGCGGAGGGTGGACTAATGAAGGAAAGAAGAGACAAAGGGGTGAGAGGGCAAAAGAAATGGGGGGGTTGTACATATACTGCAAATAAAGAGATGACTCCACAGACAGACTGACAACAAAGCAAAGGAGAAAGAAGAAGAAGATAAAAAAAGACGAGCCCAGTGACAATCTTACATCTGTGATGATGGGGACGCCCAGGTGAGCCATGTTGGTGATGATCTCACTGTCCTCAGGGGGGATCTGAGCGTGCTGGATCAGCTTGTTCAGGTTCTCCTCCGTAATGCCTGAACACACACACATGCAGGTCAAATCTTATAACTGTAAAACAAAATGTATGTTTACATTTAATATGTTCAGCTAGTACTGGGATGAAGGGGGATTCATGTTGTGTAACTTGAGTGCAAAAATAAAATGATTTTATTTTATTTTATTATAACTGTATATTACTTAAATTCAGTAGCTGTGTAGAAATGTCTGGTGATGTCTAACCTCAGAGTCTCCTGTATCCTGTCAAACATAATTTTTACAGACCTGTGCTGAACAGCTGACTTATTGAAGCTCTGATTGGGCAATATGAGTTAATTTTTACAGAAAAATATATTATCCTGATGTTAGAGTTTTAGATTACCACTGTGTGGTCAATTACCAGCTCAGTCACTACTAAATACAAGTCACTAAGACTCACTCAAGTCTGCGTTAATATTTAAAAAGGCAATCAGACAACAGCTAAAGCACAGCAATAAAGAGCAAAAAAACAATAAAAAAAACTAAAAAGTAAAACTACAAATAATTTGAGCTTTTACAGACACTTCATGTTGCCTCCTTACCATTCTTGAGGAAGATGTAGAGCAGGATGATGCGGATCTTGTCATATGTGCTGACGTTGGCATCCAGCAGGATGGGCACGATGGCCCTCATGGGGTCTTTGATCTTCTCTCCCTCAGCGTCTGTGCCCATAGCCAGATCCTGGAACAGAGAACTCAGGTATCAAGTGTTTGTCATTCAAAAGTCATTTAAAAGACCCAAATACATTTCCATGGATTGTAAAAGCATCTTATTTTCAGTTACTGGGGACTTCAGAAATCACTCTGTAATGTATCTGTGTGGAACAAACTCTGTATGAAATATGTCAAGTACATTTTGATCATTTCCTCCTTTGGCACTCCTCTCCTCTTCTCGACTAATTTTCTTTCCTATCCTCTCTCCTCATTTCCTCTCTTATCCCCTCTTCATCATAAGTTTTCTCAGGACGCTCATCATATAGAGCAGGATTATACCGTACTCCTTATAAAAAACGCAACAGTTCCCCAACTTTTCTCTCGCCTGCCCTCTCACCTGTTCCACACGGCACAGCTTGTCCACTGTTCCCTGGTAATGCTTCATACAGTCCTCAGCCAGCTGCAGATGAGTGGAGTACTGAAAGACACAAACACACAGGGTTGGGTACACATTTACACACAAAGGAAAACTCACACACATACTTATATAAACACAAACGCACCTTGCTGAGCTCCTTCTGGTACTGAGGCATCTTCTTCAGCATCTGGGACAGATCCCTCATCGTGGTCTGACCAAGTAAAAGATAAATGTGTGATCATCAGTATAAAATACAAAGATAGACAACTTAATTATTCATAACAGATTGTATTTATGTTGGACCTTTCGCAACATAAAGCAGTTTTGTCTAAAAGTCTTTGCTGACCAACTAGATTTGATCGAATCTCATAATATTGAATTATGAACTGAGGGTAATCCTCTTTGCTACAAATGTCAAATGGCAACAAAAGATGGAAAACAAAAAACAGAAACCTCAGGATTCATTTATTTAAATTCTGATCATGTTTGGGGAAATGTTGGGAAATAATTTAGTTTCTTGCAGAGAGTTGTGAGAACATTGATACAACTCTTGTGTCTGTATGTTCAATATGATGCTATAGCCAACAGCCGGTTAGCTTAGCTTAGCATAAAGACTGGAAACAGGGAAAAAAACAGCTCACTCGGCTCTGTCTAAAGCTAATACAGATCTGCCTTCCAGCGTCTCTAAAGCTTACTATATTAGCATCATCTCATTTCTTTAATCTGTACAAAAATTAAGTGTAAAAAAGGCTGTGTTTTTGCCAGACTATCTGTTTACAGTCTTTATGCTAAGCTAAGTTAATCACCTGCTGGTTTCATATTTAATGAACAGACATAAGGGTTATGTCTTCTTCTTATCTAACTCTCAGTAAGACAGTGAATAAGTGAAGCCTGTTTCCCAAAATGTCAAACTCTTCTTTTAAAATGTTAGGTACATTTCTTCAGAAGCAAAGAATACAAATATTTATGGTACCAAAATGTTGGCAATACTGTATGTTCAGACTTCCTCTTTACCTTCTCCCCAGTGTTCATCCTCTTGCTGGCAGAAAAGTCCTTCAGCTGGCGTGTCACTTCCCTAAAGACCAAACACAAGCAGCAGCAAAGGGGAAGTAGTAAGACATGAGAGACAGGTTGTTATAGTGCCTAATTCAATATCCAAGGACATACAGAATATAAAGAGATATATATAGTATGAAGAAAAGTACTCACTGGGACACCTCAGCTATGTGTTTGTGTCTCAGGCTCACCCACAGGTCATCGTCTTCATGCAGCAGAACCTCCTTCTCACGAGAGTCTCCGATGCCACTGGTCTCATACCTGAAGAAGAAAAGGGACACACATCCCGACATTTAGGAGACTGAAGCTGATTTGAATATTTTATATAAAAATCCTGCCTCCAGCTTTATTAACTATCATTAAAACAGAGCCATAGCCCTCACAAGTGATAAGTGATGTTCTGTTTTGTCATTCGTGTTTTTCGTACTTGTAGACGTCGTTTTCGATGGGCAGCAGGTCGTAGCCCATGGCCTGGAAGGTGAGCTCGTGCAGGACAGGAGAGACGGGGTCAAACGCCCTGTCCAGGATGATCAGCTGTGAGCGAGCCTTGTCGGGACCCTATAGAAGGAAAGAATGAAAAGGAGCAATAAGACACACATATACAGTGTTGTTCTTCACAAAGGATCAGTTTGAAGTGTATTCTCAGCAATGAAGAATTCACGATAAATATTTTGGAACAAGAATATGAGACAACAGTTGAACCCAAAACACATCTTTAAGCAGGAATATACCGAGCTCACCTCTCCCATAGTGGGGTCGTCAGCCTTGTAGGCGTCCAGTTTGTCCTGAACCAGCTGAGCCAGGGTGGCGTTGTCCTTGTACTCGCTGACAGGATGACAGATAGACAGATAGATGGATGGATGGTCAGATGGACAGACAGATGGTAGCATATGGAGGTAAGCAGAAAGACAGGAAGTCAGATAAATGTGAAAAGAAAGACAGATGTAAATCAAACATTTGAGCAAGCACATAAGACAAAAGAAATGTGTACTGAATCAGATTTAATGACTTTTTAAGAAGGACATTAAGTTATCTCAACCCTTTTTGTCCTCTATAACTGAACAGTAATATCTGCAGAACCACTGGTTTTCTCCTCCTAAGTCTGCGCAGCAGCCTTCTGTATTACAGAAGATTGTAATTGACAAAAACAAAGTCACATCTTTTTACAGAAGCAAGGAGTATGTAATTTTGTCATTTTAAGAATTTTTGCAAGGTATTTGAACTCCTGAAAACAAATCCATATTATTCCAAGCAGGGTATTTTATATGTTTTAAAGATGTCTGGAAAGGGATCTTTTTATAGTTCTGTTTTAGTAGCTTTTAGTGAACACCATTTCCCTCAACCATTGCAGGTTAAATGTCACTGGCTTGACAGATGGAGGGTCCATCAAGCAGTGAGCTATGAGAACAGACAGAGAGGGCTGAACAGTGCAGACATTTTTATGACAGCAGAGATTACAGATGAAAAGTTGGAGGGATGACATTAGAAGAGAGCATGTGTGGGCAGCATAGATAAGGGAGACACCTCTTGGCAACATAGTGTTTTTAATGAATCAGATATCTACAAGACTGAAAAGCTATAGTCACCATAACCAACTTAAGATATCTCCTGAGCTTGAAAAGAAATATAATAAATGGCCTTTGTTCCTTACTTTTTAGGAGCAAAAGTGTCATTTTTAATGTAATCTTTCACTATATACTACAGTTTCACTCACTGTAGTACATATATGTCCACAATTTCCTTGGCTGCTAAAATGCCTTTTGCTTCAGAAACCAGCCTGCACCCACAACTGCATCTCAGCAGCACCCCCTGCTGCTCACCCTCGGTATCTGACAGCTGGGTACTCCTTCAAGGTGGCACAAAGTGTGGCAAGCTGCTCAGCCAGCCTCTCCATCACCGGGTTCTTCAGCTGGGTCTTATGGGGGCTGTAGAAACTGTGGAAGGCATCTGGATTGTCCAGAGAGTACACCTGCACACACAAACATGTACACAATGTAAACTCTGCATCAACAAAACCGCTTGTTGTCTTCCTATGTTAGTTGATTGGAGCTTTTCCACCCCCCTACACACTTTTGTTTTTAATGTAATGTGCACAATATGCAGCAGATGAAGTACTTTGTCTTTTAAAGTGAGGAACAGATTCTAGGATGTAAAGGTTGAGTTGATCGTGACAACAGAGTTTCAGTATCACAGAGAATGTGAGCTGCTCTGTGTAAAATACAGCAGGTCACTGTGGACAGACAGCTTGTTATCTAGCTGTAAAAAAACAGCTGGAGGTGTTGTGATAATATCAAACATAGCTAATTTATACAGTGTATTCTCTTCCGTTATCTCCCTTCCTCTCCTTTCTTTGTTTTTTTATCCTACTTGTCTCAACTCACCTTTAATCTCTTCTCCTTTGTCTGCCTTATCCTTTTCCTTGTTTCTTCACCTGTCATTTCCTTGTTTCCTCTCTCTCTCATTCCCTCTTTTTCCTTTCTTTTTATCTTTCCTCCACTATCCTGTCACTATCCTATTCCTCTCCTCCCTTCTTCTCACCTTTAATTTCCTTGTTTCCTATCCTCTTATTTCCTTATCCTTCTATCTTTCCTCTCAACTCCTCTCTAAACCTCTCTACGCCTGTTCTCCTCTCTTATGTTCCTTCCTATGTTCTTCTGCTCCTGTTTCCTTGTTTCATCTCCTCTCTCAAATTGTCTTTCCATCCTCTCCTCTCATCTCACCTCCTGTTTTCTTTCCTTACTCAATTTTCTCTTATGTCATCTTTTCTACTTCTCTCTCCTCTCCTCTCATTTACTTGTTTCCTCTTCTCTTTCTACAGTCCTCTTTCCCCCCCTCCCCTCATTTCACCTCTTCTCCTCTCCTCCTCTCTCCTCTCCTGCATCACCCACTACCACTCCCTCCTTCCACCCCATCTGTCCACGGTCACATGCTGCTCTGCAGAAGGGTCCCTATGTTAGCTCAGCTACCATTGGCTACCGCCTGCTATCTGGATCCTGACTCATCCAATGGAGGGAGAGCACCAGCCTGTGGGTGGGGCTATGAGGCAGCACTTTGCCTAGAGCAGAAAACCACTGACTCTGAATTAATCATAGTAGACAGGAGGGGAGCAAAGCATTGTGGGCCAAGCAGCATCTTCGGAATAGTGAGACAAGGATGGACTGACGGAGAGGGGTGGATGGAGGGACAATTAGGAAAAATATGGTTGGAAGGAGAAGAATAGAATAAGAATACATATAAATAAGAAGAAAAAACTAAAATCCTGATGGAGAGCAGTGAGCAGAGAGAGCACAAGCGACGTGCAAAGGCAGGGATGGAGTAATGGCGGTATAAAAAAACACAAAACAGGCAGAGGGAGGGAGAGAGGGAGAGAGGGAGGAAAAACATGATGGAGGCAAGAATTTAGAAATATAACAAGGGTGGAGAAGCAGGTGGGAATGAGGGAGGGAAGGCCATGGGACAAATGTGAGTCGCTCTTGAACAGTCTGGCATTAAACAGAGTGACTGGTGAGTCAGCAGTGTTATGCCACGCGACCACCTGAGTGTGTATTCGAGTTTCTCTTTTTATCCATCCCTGACTGTAACAACCAATAACCTCACTGTTACTATTCCTGTCTGTGTCCTTTGCAGCATCTCTCTCCTCCCACCTGTCTTAATCGATCTCTTGCTGCTCTCTCTCTCTCTCTCTCTCTCTGGTTTTCACTCACAGTCACTAACAGAAAATAAAAGCTAACCAGCTTTCATTCAGTTTCTGCCAAGAGGAGAAAAGACTGTGAATAATGTCAAGAAATGGAAAACAATCTGGAGGCCAGATGCGTAAAACTCTGTTTAGGTTCACAAAGACAAAATGTGCACATGTACTCTTTTTGTCAAAATTAAAAATCCATTTGGATGCATGGTCCTGTTTTATAAATCTCTTCTTATAAATCATGGTAAAACTGGGCGCACATGCACAAGCTGCATTAGGTTCTCTAACAGCGGCAGAGTCACCATCATTAGCCAACCCCATTGGATATTTACCTGAGACTCGTAGGGCAAGAAGGCGATGTTGATCTCCGTCAGAGTCTTGATGGATTTGGAAGCACGGCTCTTCACCAGCTCATTGAAAAGAGGATCAGGGCAGGCTGGAAAGGTGAAGTTGAGGAAAACAAATCATAATTAATAGGAAGTAATTTTTATGCATCGAAGGATTCTGATTCATTGGTTCAGAATCTTCAAATATGCCTTTTAAGCAACATTTAGTTTGTCACATCTCCACTAGGTTATGATATTCTCATAACCATCACTCATCCAGCAGTTAACAGGATGTTTTTGTGAGAATCATATAGAATACCAATTGAATTAGCCCAATTAAAGTTTAATTAAATTAAACTCCCTGTTTTTGTCACAGCAGTTAATAACGCCCCCCAAAAACATTTCCTCACAGCTCGCTGTTGATGTGTTGAAAAATAACCTACAAATCATTAACAGTGAGCTAGGAGGAAAGTGGGGGGATGTGAGGACACTGTTAGGTGCTCTAACAACAATGACCACTGTGCCTTCAAATATATAAAAAGGACAACAAAGCAGTTTATCTCTGAAAGAAATAATTAAAAGGCCCTTTGAAAAACAACACTACCAAAGAAAACAACACAATAACAGACTGAAAAATGAGCACAACAGATTAGAATAAAGTAAAAACGCAAAAGACACACAACAAAAATAATTGAAAGGTTGAATTCTGCAACGCAAATATGTTTCAGAACAAAGAGTATTAACACAGTACTGCTGAAGTCTGCATGTATATACTCACAGTCAGTGAAGAAAACATGGGCTGCCTTGTATTTAGCTGAATGAGGATCTTTGAAGTCTGCGATGAGGGAGTGGACAGACTGAGGAGAGACAAACAGAGACCCTCAGAGTCAGACTATAGAGTTCATCTGGGTGTGTAGACTACAGTACAGTGTGTGTCGATGTGTACAATTCAATTCACTGAATTATTGCTAATTATCATATTGCTATGATTTGATCAAAACAATATTGCCAAACCCTTTACATAAACTGTAACTGCTTAATGAACAAACAACCATAGAAAAGTATTTTTTCATTTTTGTTCAACAACTCATGCCAATAAAGCTTAAAATAATTGAGCAGGAAGTTGTGAAAAAACACAGGCACCTGAAAACTTTTCTTCAATTGCCCATGCATTCAGTAGTTAAACTTCTTCTTATCATAATACTGCATATTCTTTTATTTTTTATGTTCTAATGATTAGTTTGCAGTGGTTTCTTTGTCTTCCATTATACTATATAGTGTGCAAAGTGAACCATCTGTGTTTTTTACAGTCGTTACAGTACATTACGTATTATATATATATGGTAGACTGTCGACCTTCTACATCCTGCTTTGGTAATGCTGTATTATTTATGGTATTGTTAATAAAGCTCATTTGAATTTGAGAGAAAGAGAGAGAAAGAGAGAGAGGGAGAGAGAAAGAGACAGACCATGGAAACAAAGTGTGTATTTGCCTCCGTTGGGTCAATAGCTGTGTGTTCAGACTTCTCGTTCTCTGGTAAAACCACAGACATGCTGCCATAGAGACACTGTGACTGTGACTATGAATATACAATATGAATGAAAGAGAAAGAAAAAGAGGAAGTGAGAGAAAGAGAGGGAGGGAGGACATGCATACCTTCTCTGTGGGTGTAATCAGAAAAATGGCCTCCAGGCTGGGAAGAGGCTCTCGTCGCTTGTTGATGTCCTCCACAACTAGAGAAGCAGAAACAGACACATGTGTACACACAGTTACAGAGGCACATACAAAAACAAAGTAAAACGTAACAGTACAGAGAAATGGTAGTTGTGAACACTGTCCCTTACTGGTGATGCCCTCTGTCATGATGTCTGTCATCTTGCAGCAGGATGACAACATCCTCATGCTCAGCTGGTCCACAATCAGCGCCTGGCAACAGGAAATAAGACAGTGACTATACAAACACAGTTTATTACTCACATTACATGTTGCTAAGAATTAAACTTTGGTTCAAAAAAAGCTATACATCCATCTTTGTGTATTTTGTTTTACCTGATGTTCACAGCTGAACAATTTTGGGAATTGTGAATATCTTTAACCTGCTTATGCTGATGATGTTAACTGTCAGTGTCATTTTAATGTCCAAAACTGCAAAAAAACTAATTGAATAAAACCTGTGCTATAGACCTAAATCTTGACTTTTCTTGTGACTAGGGTCTTAGTTATTATGGCTTGTCTAATGTGCAACATTGATGAAAAGACCTGAACTAAATTCTATGTTTTTCCACCTGTCTTACATGCGTGTGTACATTTCATGCGTGGTTTGCATCCTTTGAGTATTTCAGTTTGCTTGTCAATCAGTTATGATTAAAGACATTGTTTGGAATATCCTGTGGTGCTTCAAATCATTATTCAAGACTGATTCCAGGACCTCGAAAAAATTAGACTAATAGATTTGGCTGCACATTGCACCACTCATACTCTCTTACCGAAATGAGGAGTGCTTAAATTGCTCAGCTCAGTTTCCTGCTCAAATAATCTTGGAAAAGGCAAAAGATGTCAGGATTTTTCCAACAAATAGTCCAAAACCCGTAAATATTCAGTTTACTATCAGGTTAGGGCTAAGGAAGGCTTAGAAAACCAGCAAATATTAATATTTCAGAGGCTCAAACAAGTGTTTATCAAACAATGTATCACTTATCAAAAGTAATGCCGATAAAGTAACACAAAAGACACATTTAGGCAAAAGTCCAGTGGAACTTCATAATGTCTATACTGGCAGTTATTCAAATACTGGACAAGCATCAGCTCACACATAAAGCAGTTGCAATTAGTAAATGGGTTTGCAGATTTTGTTTCCCAGAATGTACAATATCAAATATATATAAAGCTTTAATTGTCTTAATTAGAGAAAAGCAAGATGAAGCTGCAGGGTTCTGATTTGAACTAAGCTCTAAAACCGATCCATTTGTCTGGCTGATGACATGTGAGTCATTGAAATCTGGTCTGAGTCTCAGTGCCCCACTCTTTAATAGACCCAGAGTTTGTTTCTTACCTTCCATTCTCCCTTCTTCTTCACCTTCTTGATTACATCATTCATAATCTCTGTGAAAAAAGACAAAAATAAACATCATCAGGGATCTGACAGGTGCATGATGAGATGATGAACAAAGATGTTATAATGCATTTTGTAAACGGGAAATACTCATGAAGAGTCACACACATACACACACAGGGGCAGGTGCTTAAATAAATGTCTGATAGAGCGGCGTTGGTTTCATTTTATTTTCCCACAGAGAAACATGAGATGGTGGTAAATTTCAAGCACAATTGTGGCATTTATTGTCTTCCATACAAACACCAGGACACACAAACACCAAACTGACACCAAAAGCAACTAGCTACCTTTTAAACCCCCGTACTGTAGGTAATTAGGTGGATAACACCACCTTAGGTGGGACCACAACCATATAAAATAATACATATTTAAACCTAATGCCATACAACAAGAGAGTACAAAGAATTCATATTTACATAAATACATGATCATATCAATAACTCAGTAACACATAGACTCAGAATCATCACATAAATCCCCCCCCCC